TTCGGGCACACAACTCCTTTTCGAGCACACAGCTCGTTTTTCGGGCACACAGCTCGTTCGCGGGCACATAGCTCATTTTTCGGGCACACATCTCATTTGGGCACACAGCTCATTTTCAGGCACGCAACTCATTCTTCGAGCACACAACTCATTTTCGGGCATGCAGCTCATTTTTCAGGCACACAACTCATCTCGGGCACACAGCGCATTCTTCGGGCACATAGCTCATTTGGGCACACAGCTCATTTCGGGGGCACACAGCTCACTTTTCGGGCACACAGCTCGTTCTTTGGGCACACAGCTCTTGTTCGGGCACACAGCTCATTTTTCGGGCACACAGCTCATTTTTCGAGCACACAGCTCGTTTTCGGGCACATAGCTCACTTTTCAGGCACACAGCTCATTTTTGGGCACGCAACTCATTCTTCGGGCACACAACTCATTTGGGCACACAGCTCATTTTTCGGGCACGCAGCTCATTTTTTGGGCACACAGCGTATTCTTCGGGTATATAGCTCATTTGGGCACACAGTTCATTTCGGGGCCACACAGCTCACTTTTCGGGCATACAACTCGCTTTTCAGGCACACAGCTCGTTCTTCGGGCACACAGCTCTTGTTCAGGCATACAACTCATTTTTTGAGCACACAGCTCATTCTTCGAGCACACAACTCGTTTTCAGGCACACAACTCACTTTTCAGGCACACAGCTCATTTTCGGGCACGCGGCTTGCTTTTCGGGCACAAACCTTGTTTTCGGGCACACAGCTCGCTTTTCGGGCACAAAACTCGTTCTTCGAGCACACAACTCGTGTTCGGGCACACAACTCGTTTTTCGGGCACACAGCTCGTTTTCGGGCACATAGCTCGTTTTTCGGGCACACAGTTCATTTTCGGGCACACAACTTATTTGGGCACACAGCTCATTTTCGGGCACACAGCTCAATCTTAGGGCACATAGCTCATTTCGGCACACAGCTCATTTCGGGGGCACACAGCTCACTTTTCGGGCACACAGCTTGTTTTTGGGCACACAGCTCGCTTTTCAGGCACACAGCTCGCTTTTCAGGCACACAGCTCGTTCTTCGGGCACACAGTTCTTGTTCGGGCACACAGCTCGTTTTTCGGGCACACAGCTCGTTTTCAGGCACATAGTTCATTTTCGGGCACGTAGCTCGTTTTTCAGGCACACAGCTCGTTTTCGGGCACGCAGCTCATTCTTCGGGCACACAGCTCATTTGGGCACGCAGCTCATTTTCGGGCGCGCAGCTCATTTTTCGGGCACACAGCTCATTTTCGGGTACGCAGCTCATTCTCTGGGCACACAGCTCATTTCGGGGGCACACAGCTCACTTTTCGGGCACACAGCTCGCTTTTCAGGCACACAGCTCGTTTTGAATCATACAGGATGCAACAACTGAGCTTGCAGAAGTTGAAACAAACTCAGATGCCCGACTTTTTTTTTTCTTTCGCTTCGAAGTCTGGAACCTATATATCTTCAGATAGGTCTTGGTTTTACTGTTCCCACATGACCCGGGTTGAACCTTGCGATTTTTGAAAGAACAAAATCTTGTTTTGCACAAATGTGGAGAACGACACGGCACCCTGAGCACAAAATGATTTTTTAAAATTGAGAGTGAGAATAAGTTCTGAACTGGGTATTGAGCTTACGACTGAACACAACACACCACGACTCAACAACAAAGAGAAAGACAAGGTAAGACAACCTACACAGATCTATAGACATCCGAAACGACTCAAAACAAGAATCGAGACAAACAAAACGACTGACACGACATACAGACGTATTGGAAAGACAAGAGAACTCTCGACATGACATACAGACGTATTGGAAAGACGAGAGAACTCGCAGATCGCCGAGGAGCCAGTTTCTCTGCGCATTTGTTTCCCACCCTTTCTAATTTGTGATTCTCACATCACTCGGCCCTCAGGCTCTGTTTTTCTGAAAAAGTCCTTTCCTCACTTTTCCTCTCAGCGCACATCTCTCTATTCTTCAATCTCTCATTTTTCATCCCTCTCCTAGGTGGTTGATGAATGAACAGAAAGCTGTGGGTTTATGCCCAACATTGTTAGCTCGCCCCTACTTCCTCTGGCGACGTCTAGTCGATATTCGAGATGAGGGAGTGGAGTATATTGATCCATTCCAAATCGTGCCTCTAACTTGGCTTGATACCTCGTTGCTTGAAGGGTGAGAGAGCTTTCAGCCCTTCGTTATTAACCTCAGTTGTGCCCTTTCTGGCAGATAGAGTGCCCTTCTTGGCAAGTATGTTGACAATGGGGGAAAGGACAAAACACCTAACTCAATTATGCCCCTAGTTCATCATTTTAACCATTTTTTGTTTTGGTTTTCTACTAAAACAATTTTGACCAAAATGAGAGTTAGATTAATATGCTTGTTCAATTTTCTGATTTAAAATCATGCAAGTTAGGCTATGAGCACTGGAAATTTTCCTTTTTTGGGTCCAAAAAAAAGGTCCAGCTTTGGGAAAATGGAATAAATTTCGAGAAAATTAGTCAACCTCAGTAAAAATTCTCAAAAACCGTTTTTGCAAACGGCCATTGCTCAACGAGCATGAAACTTACTTTTGAGATGCACAACCTCAGATCTTAAGGAAAATTGCCCCTTGCTTGAAGAGAGCTGCATGGCAACGGAAAGTTGCACCTTGTTTGAACGGCACCGCAGCGCATTGAATGGCAACGGAAAGTTGCCCCTTGTTTGAAATAGGACCGCAACACACTGTAGTCAGTCTTTAGAGTGACGAACAGAACCAAACTCTCAGATACAAAGAAGACAAGGATGACCAGAACCATCACATGGACACAGTCAAATTTGAAGTGTTTTACGGTTGGACTTCAGGACGAAGTTGCCTATGTATCCCAAAGATGGGAATCAAGCCTTACGTAGTTCGGGGTGTAAGGTACACTCGTGTATTAACCTCTCCTTTTACGCTCTAACTTTTGCCAAGACCGCCCTTTCTGGGTTTTCAACCTTGCGAGCTTTGTTTTTCTTTTCTTTTCAATTCTTTTCATTTCACTTTTTCTTTTTTCTTTTTTCTTTTTTATCTTTTCTTTTCATTTTCTTCATTTTTCTTCTTTTTCTTTTTTCATTCTTTGCATTTTTCTTTTTTTCTTTTTCTTGCTCTAACTTTTGCCTGGGTCGCCCTTCTGGGTTTTCGGCCCAGAGAGCCTCTCAAGGGTAAAAGTGTAGCTGATCCATGTCAAATGGTTTTGAGATCCTGAAGTCATTTGAATCTAGGAGAATGGCTGTTGTTCGCTGATGATGTAGGAGTCCATCCAATGGGGGGGCTGAATTTGCCCCTCGTGTTGTGGATCGGAACTCAGTTTCCCTTCAGCGATACCTTCTTCTTTCTTTCCTTCTGGGATTTGGCATTCTTGCCAGTCTTTGTTGATTTGTGGAATGATCTATCTTCGGCTCTTCGAGCACAATCTGGCATCTTTTGCCCCTAGTTCGAGCGGTGCTTCTGATCTAGCTTTGCAAGCTTCTTTTGACGACATCTGATCTTCTTGATCTGACTTCCCTGCCCCTAGTTCGAGGGCTGCTTCTGATCCGGCCACACAGGCCTCACCTTGTGGTTGACCATTGAACATTTTGAATCTAAGTTCAAGGTTTGAAAGCAAGGGGTCGAGTATCGAGGCTGAAAGCGATCCTAGGCTGCACAATCTCAAGAGCGATTCCACACAGGTCTTCGCAGGACTGCGCAAAACATTTTTGAAACCTTTTTTGAAAGCAACTAATCGCTCGCGCTGAAGATAATGTAGAACCAATCTGGATCAAGCCAGGATCCTTCTCAGTACTCACATTAACAAACATGATCTCATTCATTAAGGGCTTAGCACGCCTCTCTTTCTCGCAGTTTGATCAAATTTTGCAAATCCCGAGGAATTTCTTTCTCTTCATTTTCATCACAGTGTTTGAAAAGTTTTGAAAAACTTAGGTCAATGCAACGATTTCGAGGCACAGAAAAGTAGGCGAAAAGTGCTGCCGTTTCATTCTAGACTTGTTGCCACAACAGGCTCAATGTAGCAAGAAGCATAAAACATGACAGCCATAGCTGTTTTATTCAGATTTCCTGGTTGCAACTGGCTCCAAGTAGAAACAAACTCAAAAGAAAACGAAAAGACAAACGCAAAACAAAATGGTGATGCCCGAGGTAACACTCCCGGAATCACCCGACCTTTGTACAACAGGACTGACTCGATACAACAAGACAGACCCTTAATCAAAAAGACTGACTCAAGACAATGAGACTGACTCAAAACAAAACTACAGAACTTACTCAACACCCAAGTTAGAAACTACAAAACTAGCATTCGCAAATGCTCAAAACAATGCGTGCCAAACGCCACAACTGAAGTAAACTAAACACCGCCCGTAGGTGGTTCATCCCTTGATCACATTCTTGTATTATCCTCGAAATTTGCTGACCCAGTGATGGTGGACTTCGCCGAGCTTGGCGGGAGGACAACTCCGTTGTCAAACAGATCCTGTACTTCATGACGAAGATGGAAATAGTCGTCGGTAGTATGGCCAGTTTGTTGATGGTAAGCGTAGTACTGGGTAGCATCATATGTAGCCAGAAGAGGGTTCGGGAGAGGCCGAGGCTCAAGGGGTTTGAGATGGCCTTGTCTAACAAGGATTTGGAGAGCTTTGGACAAAGGCATATAGAGGGCATGGAAGACCCTCCGACCTTGGGGTTGGTACTTCAAGGCTTGTGGATTTTTACTGGGCGCACCAGCAAAGAATGGCAACGAAAAGTTGGCTCTTTTTTGTGTGTAGACAGTGTTAATCAAAACAGATTTGGAAAATAAAACCCATTGGCTATTTTCATGTCTTCACAGTGTTAAGCAAAACAGATGTGAAACTAAAATGGTTGGGTGTTAAAGGTGGTGTGTAATTGTTCAACAATGGGAACTGAAATGGTTGCTGGGTTACATAAAAATGTATATTAATCGATGCATACGCTGCAATGTTGACTGAAATGCATAAGATGGTATCTGGAAGGGCAGAATATGTTGGGACATCGTACATTTACACTAGTGTTTGTTCAGTATGTATCTTCACCTTTGTTTGATTGCCCGAAATCTAAAAATAATATTTGCATAATGAAACCTGATACGACTACGGTGGTTTTGGACAATTGTGCAGGATATGATGCGAAACAGCAGTGCTGTTTCCTGAGCGAAGTATTTGAATGTTCACATGAAGGCTGCACGAGGTTGTAGATACGCACTTTTCCCAATCTACAATGCCAACCATTGGACGGTCATGGCGCACAATTCAGAAAGCGGGAATTGGAAACATTACAACTCGATGTGGCCAAGATGTTGAGTGCGCGATGAGCATTACAATGAGGCTCTAAAAGTTGTAAGTGTTGTTTACAAATTTCAGTTTTGAATGTGCATGATGGGCAGATTACTATTTACAAAAGGTTAATGTTACTGTGGACAAAACTGCACTGACATGTGGAAAATGGATAGAAACAATAGGTGGCTGACCATCACAACAAATTTGTGAAGCCTCGAGTTATAGCTGCAGGTGTTGGGGCAGACCTGTTTGATGGCAGTTTTGTATCTGTTGTGGATTGTCCACAACAAGTTCTAGAGTCATAAGTAATGTTCATTTTATTTTGAGTATACTGTTTTGATGATGTATCGCGTAAGTGACGTTGACACCGGTATTTGTGAGTGCAGGTTAGATTGTGGGATTTTCGTGTGCTTCATAATCAGGCAGTACATTCGTGGTGCAGAAGTGAATACTATGATGGACGGTCTGACCCCAACTGGGCTACGAGCTGCAATGGTGGACATGTTCTTAAGTGACCCGGGCAGAGGACTTCGTGGGAGGACATTATAAGAGGTTGAGAAGACATTTGCCAGTGCAGAAGGTGCAACAATAGAATTAGGATGTTTTAGTTTGTTGATGTTTTATCAACGTATATAATATTTTGTTAGTCTGATAACACATAACAGTAGGAGGGAAAAACTAGTTTCATAGACATTACTTTTTTGGTCATGCAGAAGTGCCCAACGGTTTAATCTTGGGTTAGGATCCAGTACTTTTTGGATATGAATGTTGATATTATTTAGTAATTTATTCAAATAGTTTCACCTATTGCATAATAACAGCTTAATGGTGCATTACATTTTCATGTGCATGTGGAGTAGATTATTTTTAAATGGCAGATGGACCTGGGTATGTAAACATGGTGTGATCTATGCAGAAGTTGCACATGATGACACTCAGTTTGGGGAACCTGTTTTACACCATGGGAGTATGGGTGGCTTGATGTATATGGAAGTTGACATGCAAAGACGGTATTGGGTACATGTTTTGTGCAATGACAATGGATTGTAAGCAGCCACAGAAACATTAAAAATCCATTGCCGTTCCGGATACAGGTTGGCAGAGTCCACTTTGGGCGAATGTTCTGGTATGATGTGAACAGATTTGTAAACTAAAACGGCACCAATTCCTCTTTTCATGTCTTCACAGTGTTAATCAAAGCCAGATTTGAAAATAAAATGGTTGTGTTTCAAAGGAGCAGCGTTAGTGTTCAATAGTGGGGACCGAAAATATATGTCCTACCAAACAGATTAAACCAATAACATAAAGTGGATGACTGGTTTCCAAATCTGTTATGATGTCCACAGATTTGAAACAAAAAACGACACCCATTTGCTCTTTTTTGTGTGTAGACAGTGTTAATCAAAACAGATTTGGAAAATAAAACCCATTGGCTATTTTCATGTCTTCACAGTGTTAAGCAAAACAGATGTGAAACTAAAATGGTTGGGTGTTAAAGGTGGTGTGTAATTGTTCAACAATGGGAACTGAAATGGTTGCTGGGTTACATAAAAATGTATATCCTACAAAATAGATTAAACCAATAACAGAAAGTGAATGACTGATTGAAAACAAGGAGGAAAATATTTCGGAAAACAAAATAAAATAGAATCCCAGTTTGTTAACAACAAAATTAAATCATATGGCAGACCACCTATAATGGCTCTTTGCATGTCTTCCTATTGTGATTGCCCACTTTTCCGCAACGACCACAACGTATACGTTGCACTACCTCCCCCTTGGACGGAATTCTCTTCCGTTTGGGCCGACCAAGAGGACACTTGCCATCGGCAGAGCTATCAAACATTCAGCTAGGTTAAACAGTGGCCTCCCCACTGTTGGTATGTGGTATATGGTTCCGCTATAAGTAGCTCGAAATGTATCAATGCAAAATGCGAAGTCTATGGCATCGTAGATGTTTCTCCCACTATTACGGAATGCAACGACAGCATGGGAACCCGTTGATCTGTCACTGAAAACAAGAACATGTCTGCTTGCCGACATCAACCAACACCGATGGGTGGGAGTGGACCTCATAGACATCATCATTAGCCTGGCTCAAGAACATGTCTGCTTGCCGACATCAACCAACACCGATGGGTGGGAGTGGACCTCATAGACATCATCATTAGCCAGGCTCACACACCATGCCTTGCTGTCGTTATACACTGCCACCAATCTTTTCTCCATTTTCGGGGATATCACACCGGCCCATTTACCACATTTAACTCTGCGCTCCGACATCTGCTCCATTATTTGACCCCTTATCATATCGACCAATCTCGTGATAGGGAGATGACGGGCCTTACCAACCCAATTGTTGAAAGATTCAGCAGCATTTGAACACATCTCCCCATATCGTTGGTCCCTTAAAAAAAAATCCCCATTTACGGAGCATAAATTAAAAAGACAAAAAATAAAACATACTGCAAAAAAATGTGGGAATTTTTAAATATGCCATAACCCATTGCGCAGGTCGTGAATTACCTGAAATACGCATTAGACCAGTGTTTGGGGTGTAGGTCTGTCATAAAATCTTCAATCACAGCTGGGTTGGCCTTCTTCAATACCTCCAATTTCTCATTGAAACAAGTAACAGTGGGCGCATATGCACATTCCCGCAACTTCCGCATCAACCCAATTTTGTGCGGTGCATTAACATATTTCATTCGATCCCGCAAGTTCATTTGGAGATGCAACAAACAATATGCATGATGCGCTGAAGGGAAAATAATGGGCATAGAGTGTAATAATCCGACGTGGCGATTAGATATGAAAGTTATTGTTCGCCCACCCCCAACAACTTCTTTCAAATTATGAAGAAACCATTCCCAATTGGCTGAATTCTCGGAATCAACAATAGCAAAGGCTACCGGAAACAATCCTAAGACCAAACATGCAACATAAAAAGTTACGCATGACAAAAGCTATACAACCATCCACGCAAAATAAAGTGCGACACATTTTACAAAATAAAAAGAATAAGCCTACCACTGTGTCTTACATTCCTATTCAGTTTTATTTGAGGAGACCCTATTTCAATGTTCTCAATTTTTTTCCTTCGTTAAATGGAAAAAAAACATTTGTAATGTATAAAAAATGGAAGTATCTATTTACTAGTATGTTCAGAAAATAAGCACTAATGGAATAAAATAACACACCATTACCTTGATTGGCGTCTTTAGCAGTAGCTGCAAGTAAATTACCTTTAAATCTAGCTTTCAAAAACATTCCATCCAAAAATAGCATAGGACGGCGGTGATTGAACCCATCTATACAAGCGCGAAATGATATGAAATACCTAACGAAGCTCCCGATTTTTTGGTCAAACTCAAGGTTAATGTAACTGTTTGGGTTTTTTTGCATAACAGAATTGCTATACCACCTCAGCTGATCGAAGGACATAGCGTGATCCCCGTACACCTCGCCCCTAGCTTTCTCAACACCCAACCATGCCACCCGGTAGCTAATGTCCAGACCATACTCGTTCTTCAAATCAAACACAACATCAGTGGGGCGCGTCAATGGCTTATCGCGCACCCGATCTGCAACAACGGTAGACACCAAATCAGACGCTGTACGAGGGTTCCTAGAAGTATGTACAGCAGCCCCATAAGTATGCACACTATCAAACCTCTTAACACATAACACCCCACTTGACGGTAACATCCTCGCATGAACTGACCGCGGACAATCTGTTGAAGCCGCAAACTTACACACTACCGTAATTCGCACGGAGTCATTTTTAATGTACTTAAATTGAAATCCATGTTCAATAGCATACTTACACAGAACTTCACGGAATTCAGTTGTTCCACCATCAAAACATTGTCCCACATGGGTAATACCATGCGCCCATTACGCCGACAAAAACGTCTTTGATTTGTTCGGACAGTACGTTGGTAACAAATCCATCTGTTCATCCACACACCCATTCCCGCTAACATGCCGTGATATTCCCCCATCGTCTGCGGAATCCAACACGACACGATTACCTCCCACACCAACACTACTTCCCTGAATGAGGACCTCAATGTGATTTATCCCGAACGACTTAGCAAGGCACAACATGTTTTGAATGTCATCGTCGCTATCCACCTTAAACTTCTTATACCCGGGAAAATCAAAAAACAAACATACCGCACCTGGTACCAATCCATCGAACTTTCCACAAATTTCATCAACAATCTTTACATACGACGAATCCTAATGCAACCGAATAAGAACATTAGCTAAACCATACGAACACACCAGCAAAATTCCCCCTTCCATACCTGCACACATTTTGAAGAACCCATTACGGCTGCAACATACCCATGAAACAACCATAACAGAACAGTATGTGTGCATTTGTTGGATTAAACACAGCAGTGCAGGAAAATAAAAAAATTTCCTAACGACCCATCGCAGCCATTGATATAACCAGCGCACCCATCCGATAGACAGATCAGAGAAAACTAAAAAAATTCTGGAAAAAACGACAAACCTTTTCCCGGGGGCTTGAACACAGCAGTGCCACCGCAGGAAGCCACCAACTTGAAATGTCCAATTACAGTGCGAAGAACAGTAGTGGTCGCTGGGGAAGATGACGCTGACCACCGGAAAAAGAGTGCTCACCGTATTCTGCCTCCATGAAAACAATGGTGGAATCAATGTAAATGAAGAAAAACAATGGTAATGAAACCGAAATGGTGGACAACAACAATAAAGAATCAGAAAACAATGTCAATCAAATACATAACAATGAAAGAAAATGTTAATCAGTAAAAATCATCCCCACTAAAAATGTTGAATGAAGAAAATCAGTGGTAATGCATCATAAATGTTGGACAAAAAATGGTGCTCATCGATTTGGGTGTCCCAAAAAC